GGCTGAGCCCTCTCTGAAGTGGGACATGGTCATACCTATGCTGGCAACTCCCATCCCAGGGCTGAGCCCTCTCTGAAGTGGGACATGGTCATACCCATGCTGGCAACTCCCAGCCCAGGGCTGCTTTAGGTTTGGGACTTCCCATTTCCTCCTCTGGGAGCCGCCCCTTCCTATTTACCGTCCTTCTCTACTCCTGTCAGCCCCCACGTGGCTCAGCATTTTCTTCTGTTCCAATCGCTTTAGTTCATTCATTGCCCCGGCCCTCATGTCTTACTCTTTACTACCTGCCTGGGAGCCTTCCATGTCCACAGGGACCTTACACACTAACCTGTCTCGGTAACTTCTTCCTCTACTGACCTTCTGTTTCAGAAACTCTATAACCAAAAGCAAAATCAAACACAGGAAGCCCAGGGAGGGGTTTTGAGTAGCTCCACATCATCTCACACAGGGATGTTTTAGAGAATCAAAATAGAATCAAAAGAGATTTGTAGCATAGAAATTATGTTTTCACAGACATATCCTTAAACCACAATTGCTCCATGGGACAATATCAGGGTGCCAAAAAAAGGTCTGCACATTTTAAGTGATGTTATCTGCTTTTCTAAGTTGAGTTGAACCATGGAAGCCACTGTGGTATGCCACTTGTGGCACCTCCTGTAGTTGCCGAAGTCAAACATGACTTGTATTCATCTTTTCTTATCGGTCAGTATATACTGAGTATTATAATTTTAATTTAGTTTTTCCTTTCCTTAAAATGTGTATACATTTTTTTTTTTTTTGGCATCGTCTGTATTTGAATATGGCAGGTGATGCCAGCTAAGGATAAAAAGCCTGTGTGGATGTGGGGAGGACACCTCACTGGCCACCGTGGTCATCTCCTTCCCAGAGAACCTGCAGAAAGATGAGAGGTACAAAACAAACACACACACCTACAGAATCTGTCAGCCAAGCTGCAGTCTTTTCTAGAGGCTCCTTGACAATACCCCACTCCAGCATAAGTGACTCACACTGTGCCATGGGGAAATTACCAAGTATTACATGCTCTAGGTCTTTGGCTTACACGCAGTATATGTAAAGCTTCAAATGCTAAATCTGTGAGTTCTAAGGCTCTCATGTTCTTGACTTCTATTCCATTTGTTGGCTACTTTGGGATTGATGAACTTCAGCCCCTAATGTCTAAATTTCCTCCTCAGCCTCTGTCCAGGCAATTACTAGAATTAGAAGAGGTGTACTATAATCAGATTTCTTAATTTTCATTTTTAGAACTGCTTCTATTAGACAGTGATGATTTAATCTAAATGTCACCTCCGCAGTAATCCTTGAATCACTTCCAGATTGACCAAATGGGCACAGTTAGTAAAGCAATTCTGGTGGGCAACAAATTTAAGCAAATGAAAATCGGTAAAGAATGAAACTGGCAGACTGTTTACAGGTTCTGACTGCTTTATCTAAGAGCTATAAAGAACATCCTCAAATCATCAGGCCGGTCTTTCTCCATAAACACGTGCATGATTACCATCTCTCTCACACCTCCACTTCCAACAGTCTTCAAGAACACAGTAAATCCTCATGAAGGCTGACATGGCTTCCAGCTTAGAAAGGAGAAAGCAAGTTCCACCAAAACACTGCAGGGTGTCTGCTTGAGTTTGTGTCAGCTGTGTTCCTCGTGGGCACTCGTATTTATTGAATGAATGAGTGAGCAAACCTACCCACCCCTCATCTGATAAAGAAGCTGATGCTCGGTACACCCAATTCCCCACCCAAGGAAGGGCCAGTACACTTTTTCATAATTGCAGTGAGAAATAACCTAAAGAGAAACTGTTGCATATACTTGAATTTTCCAGAACTATATTTTTAATATACAATGAAAATAATAGAAAGAAATGGCATAAAAATATGAAGCAGCTATTTCTCAAATGTGCAACAGATACTTATTCAATGCAATGTGACACAACAAAACAGTGCCCCCAATGAAAAAGAGAAAACTTTCTAATCAAACCTTCCCCAGGTCTGAACATAATAGAGATTTTCATTTTATTCCCGTTCTGCTAAGGTTCCTGCCACAGCAGCATCCCCCAGCCCTCGGCCATGTCTAATCAGCGATGCAACCTCACACTTTTAATGAACTCCCAGGGTTGTACAGAAAAGTGCATGCTTCCTGACAGATAAGGGTTTTTAAACAGAGTCGTGATGTAAAGGCCTCTCTTCTCTTCCTATTAAAAGGGAAATACTTCTACAGTAGCTAAGGGCACTCAGGTGATGTGCCTCTACAAAATACAGCAAATGACCTCTTCAGTTGGGAGGCAATCACAGCAGATGAAAATTGCAGCATTTAACGGCTCTGCAGAGGGAACAGCAACAGGAAGCAAAAATAATAGTTCTACATAATCAAACATGTGGCTTAATTTTCTGTGGGCGACCTTCTAAGGAATGATCAATTACAGATATGACCATAAAAAAGAAGTTTGGTTTTTATTCTTTCTTAAAGACTAAAGTACGTGCACGCAGAAAGCGAAAGCGTGAGGTTACGTAGGACATCCACAGGGCGTGAACAGAGTGTGACAGAGTGTGACTCAGTCTTCCCCTTGAGGCCAGGAAATGGGGAATCACTGTGATTTCAGCCCCAGATTAGTCATCTCAACAGGAAGAAGACAC